AATCGAACTCACGACCTTGCGCTTGCCAAGCAGGCGCTGTGCCACTGAGCTATATCCCCAGCCCCTATAATTATTATTATAATAAAGAAACTCTGGCTGAGCTTGGAGCAATCTGAGGATCCTCCACGTCTGCACAGCAGTTGCAACTCCACAAAACTGAGACCCTCAAATCTCGCCACCTACCCCTGAGCATTTTCCCCGGAGCGCTCACCTGCAGTAGTCAGGGGGGACCATGCCATAGACGTGCACGTGGTCACACAGCTCCACCGCGATCACCATGGTAAACCAGCCTGTGCTCAACCACGAATGGGACTTTTCCCTGTAGGCAGAGAGGGGTCACCATGAAGGGACAAATGGGCAGGGATGGGAGCAGCCAGGGAGGAATGGTCAACCCACATGGAGTTCCCAGAAACTTCCCACCCGCCCATGGTGGCACCAGCACATTCCCACAGGAGTTGTGGAAGCTGGCAGGCTGGTGGCAGGCTCGTTGGGCGGAGATGAGGGCCATAGAGCAACAGCCTTTGAGGGAATGATTGGGACCCAGGCATGCCGGGAATAAACTCCTGGGGACACTGGTCACAGCTGGACGGGCTGGGAGTGACAGAGACCACAGAGCATGCTAAAAGCAGCTGTACCTACACTAAGAGCAAACTCCTAAGGGGACACTCTTCAGAGAAGGTCATGCTGGGGTGGCCACAGCTGGAAGAGGCAGGAGACAGTGACGAGTCCTCCTCTAAGGCAGCCACCAGCTCTATGTGGTCACTGAGTACTTGACATGTGGCTACAAAGGGCCAAATATACACCAGAGGTCTTGGGCAATATGAAAAAGAAATATAAGCGGTGTCATTGATAATTTGATTATTTGGTAAACAAACTGCTTTACATAGATTTGGTGGAAGGTGGTTCACTAAAAAGATTTATTTCAAAAAGAAAAATCTCCAGCAAGACTGACAGAGAAAAAGAAAGAACACAAATTACCAATATCAGAAATAAGGGAGGAAATCACCACATACCTAGTAGATATTAAAAGGATAATAAGAAAATTCCACAAACAACCACATACACAAATTTGAGTTTGGCCAGGTGTGGTGGCACACACCTGTAATCCCAGCACTGGGGAGGCTGAGGCAGGGGGATCATTGCGAGTTTGAGACCAGTCTGGGCTACAAAGTGAGCTCAAGGCCAGTCTGAACTGCAGAGCAAGACCCTGCCTCAAAAAGACAAAAAAAAAAAAAAGACAACTTAGATGAAATGGGTCAATCCTCTAAAAGCCACAAACTACCCAAGATAAAATAGTAATCTGAATATCCTATAACTATCAAAGAAATTGGAAGCTGGGCATGGCAGCACACACCTGTTACCTCAGCACTCAGGAGACTGAGGCAGGAGGATTGCAGAGAGTGCAAGGTCAGCCTGGGCTACATAGTGAGACCCTGTCTCAAAAAACAAAAAGATAAAAAAGAAACTATATTTGTAGTTAAAAAACCCTCTGGGGCCTGGGAGTGTACCTTAGCGTGCTTGAGACCCTGAATTCAACTTTCAGCACCAAAAATACAAAACAAAACCTTTGAAAAGGAACTCTCTGGGCCCTGGCAGTTTCACTAGCAAACACCAACAAACATGTAAAGAGAAATAACACTAATTCTATAGAATCTCTTCCAGAAAATAGAAGAAAGAACTAACTCATTGTCTGAGGCCAGCATGAACCTGATATCAACACCAGGCAAAAACAGTACAAGAAGAAAAATGAACCATAAAGCCAGGCATGGTGGTGCACGCCTGTAATCCCAGCACTCCAGAGGCTGAGGCAGGAGGATCATGGTGAGTTCAAGACCAGCCTGGGCTACAGAGTGAACTCAAGGCCAGCCAGAACTGCATAGCAAGACCCTGTCTCAAAAAAATAAAACAAAAGAAGAACCAAAACCCCCTAGAAGAGCTGAGGGTGTAGCTCAGTGATAGAGCACCTGCCAAAGATGCAGAAGGCCAGGATTCCATACCAGTATCACAAAAACAAAACCCTTTGGACCAATGTATGTCTTACGAACACATACAAACATCTCCACAAAATATTAACAAATTATATCCAGCAATATACGCCACCAGCAAGTGAAGTTTATTCCAGAAATGCAATGCTGATTCAATATTCAAAAATCAATCAATATAATGCACTTATCAGTAATCTTAAGAAAAACTACATTGATTGTATCAATTGATACAGAAAAACAATTATAAAATTTAATACCCACTAGAGGTAAAAAGTCTTAGCAAACTAGTAAGAGACCTTCCTCATAAGACCTGATAAGCAGCAGTTACCAAAAACCCTACAGGTAATATCAGACTCAATGATGAAAAACTGAAATTGAAAAAGAACACTCTTTAAAAGGAAAAACTGAAAATTTTTCCCTAAGACTAGGACAAGACGAGGGGCCCACTGTCATCACTTGGAATATAATCAACATTGTATTGGAAATACTAGCCAGTGCAATAAGGCAAGAAAAAAGGTAACAGAGGCACAGATTAAAAAGGAAAACATAAAACTGTACTTATTTGCATAGAACATAATTATAGAAAATCCCAAAGAATCTACAAAAGTCTGCTAGAACAAATAAGTGAGCTTAGCAGTTACAAGGTCAACACACAAACACCAGTTGTATTTCTATATACTGGCAATGAACAGTTGAAAAACCTCCAACATTTTTTAAAATATCCTTTAAGTGGCTCCAAAATTTTTAAGTATTTAGGTACAAATGTAACAAAGTACACACTGCAGCTATATATTGAATACAGTGGGTTAAATAAAATATATTAAAGTTAAATATACCTGGTTTGGCTTCTTTCTTTTTCCTTGCTCTTTTTTTTTTTTTTTTTAACTTTTTAAATGTGGCTACTGTGAATTTTTAAATTACCTATGTGGGTCATGTTATATTTATATTGGGGGATGATAGTCGGGTGTGGTGGCACACGCCTGTAATCCCAACACTCGGGAGGCTGAGGCAGGTGGATCATCGCAAGTTCAAGGCCAGCTTAGGCTACAAAGTGAGCTCAAGGCCAGCCTGAACTGCATAGCGAGACCCTGTCTCAAAAAGACAAAGAAAAAAAAAATTATTGGAGGATGATAATCTAGGTTTTCTAGGGAGAGTAGTCAGAAAAGAGAATGCTGAGAATGAGGAATCCGGAGAACAGACGTGCGGAACAGTGTGTGTTTAAAGCAAGGCATGCTGGGAATGGCCTTGACCTTGGGAGCTCTCCTAGAAAGCCGCTAGGCGCAGCTATGTAACCTTAGAGCAGAGCATGCTGGGACACTTTCCCCTCAGACCGAGGCATGCAGGGAGGAAACGGCTGGGGAGATGAGGCCATGCAGAGCACGTAGGAGGTGACTGTGTTAACAGCAGGACCCGGGAACTCTCCTAGGAAACCTGCCCAGGAGGAGGCAAGAGCCACACGCTTGGAGCAGCGCATGCCGGGAGCAATGGGCCTGTGGGCGGGCCGTGCCGAGTGCGCAGGCGCGAGTTGGTACCTGTCTTTGCCCGTCTCACCCCGGAAGAGGTCGTCAAACTGCTGCATGCGGGCGGGAGAGACGGCGTAGGCCTCCATGTTGGGGAACACCAGCCCTGCCCGCTGGATGACGCGCACCAGGCTGCCCTGCGGCTTCTGCATCTTGTTCGGGGGGCCCCAGAAGATGAACACGGTTTCGGGCGTGCGGTTGACAAACTCCTGGGGCTTGCGCAGCACCCGGAACACGCTGGAGTGGGCCACCACGCGGAAGGTGGTTCTGTTGCCCACGTCGGCCGAGTAGCCCGTGGTGGGCGCGTCGTTCATGCGGATGGTGCACTCGGCCTGCTCGATTTCAGGGCCCAGTCTGGTGCCCAGCAAGTGGCTGGAGCTGGTGACGATCACACACTGGTGGCACCGGGAGGGCAGTGTCTGGGGGGAGGAGGACAAATGGACACGGTCACAGCCACTCTTCGCAGAGTCCTGCGCCCTGTACAACCAGGAGCCTCAGATCCATACGCCCATCGTAAAGGTGAGAAACCACGGCTACTCGTCCCACGTTCTGCAAATATTTACTATAAGCCAATTAATGGCCAAATACTGGGGGCAGAGAAATGAACAAGGGACACCCAGCTTCTGCCCTCAGGAGTCATATTGATGTGCTAGGCAGAGTGGTACACGCCTGTGACCGGAAGCTGAAGCAAGGGGATCACCAGGAATTCCAGGCCGGGCTGCGCTATATAGTGGGTTCAAGGCCAGCGGAGGGCCCGGGATCTAGCTCAGCGACACACGCGCCTGTCTGGCAAGCGCAAGGTCCTGAGTTCGATTCCCAGTACCAAAAAAAAAAAAAAAAAATTAAAAAAGCATGAGGTCCCAAGTTCGATTCCCAGTACAAAAAAACCCAAAAAACAAAAAGGCCAACAGAAACTCAGATTGTGTCTCAAAATGCCAAAAAAGAGCTGGGATGTAGCTCAATGCAGAAACCTTGGACTCAGTCCCCAGTACCATTTAAAACAGTAGAATCTTCAGCTGGGGAGCTGGACAGTGAACACAAGTAATACACGCTAGGAAAAAAAAATACAGCAGGGTCAGGTGATCCAAAGCAACAGGCACAGGAACACAGGCCTCTTTAGAAAGCTCATGAGGGAGGCCTCTCTGAGTGGAGGCTGGAAGGATGAGAAGCAGCCAGCTCCAGGAAAGCATGCAGGGAAGGAGGAACTGGAAGCACAAAGACTGAGGTAGGAATAAAGGTGGAGCTGAGAACCAGAGGCCAGGGGCTGGGGATATAGTTCAGTGGTACAAATGCGGGCCTGGCAAGCGTGAGGTCATGAGTTCGATTCCTGGTACAAAAAAAAAAAAAAAAAAAAAAAAGAACCAGAGGCCAGCAGCTGTGATAGGGCAGTTAATAGAAAGAACAAACAGCAGGCTGGGGATTTAGCTCAGTGGCAGAGTGCCTGCCTGTCAAGCACAAGGTCGTGAGTTTGATTCCTGGTACTGGAAGAAAAACCAAAACCAAAAAAAAAAAAAAAAAACAAAACGAACAAGCAGGGCGTGGTGGCACATGCCTATAATCCAAGCACTTGAGAGGCTGAGGCAGGAAGATTACCTAGAGTTCAAGGCCAACCTGAGTTACATAGTGAGTTCAGGACTAGCTTAAACTATATAGCAAGACCGTGTCTCAAAAAACAAAAAACCAACAACAAAAAACCAACAAAAAAACCACACCAAAACAAACAAAAAATACAATAGGAAGAATAGAGCCAGGGCTCTCACTGGATGTGCAAAAGCCCTGGGAAAGTTTAAGGCAGATCAGTGAAGGAGGAGAGAGGCACTGCAGGTTGAACTCCAGAAATACAGCCCGAAAGTCCTGACTTGGATAAGCAAACAGCAGTGCCCAGGAATGACCTGACTAGTAAGTGAACTATCAGGGAGCCATGAATGACTTTTGAGCAAACTACCCCTTGGCAGGGGTTGGGGAAGTCCTCCAGCTCCTCCTCTCCAGTGCTGTGTGGCCTTGGATGAGTGGCTTCCCCTCGCTGAGCCTCCGTTACCCCATCTCCTCACAGCAGGTGATAATGCTGGCCTCACAGGATTCGCCTGAGGATTACGGCAATCAGGAAGCAGTCACCTGCTCCAGGGCAGCCAGCATCACTGCTTTGGAGCTGTCCAGCACCCTAGTGTCCTGTTCCCAAGCCCCTGTGGACTCCCTAGAGATCCGTGGAGGCCAGGGACACAAGTCCAGGGGGTTCTGACTTCGGAGATGGTAGAACATTAGTACTGAGGTGGGGACCTGGAAAGCCGGAGGACCAGAGAGGGCAGAGCGCTTATCTAAGGTCACAGCGAGCAAGAGGCTGAATTTATTGGAGGCCTTGACTCCTGGGGTTCACTCTTTGCTTTTGTTGTTTTGTTTTGTTTTGTTTGAGACAGGGTTTCATTCTGTAGTACAGGCTGTCCTTGAACTCATGATGGAGCCCAGGCTGGCCTCAAACTCATGGCGATCCTCCTGCCTCGGCTTTCCGAGTGCTGGGATTACAGGTGTAATCCCTTTCCTTTTGAAAGGAGGGTGTAGAGGAAAGAGGAGGAGGAAGAGGAGGAAGCAGTGCCAGTGGGCAATGGGGTGGGTCAGTCACCAGGAGCCCCCAGGATCCCCCGGGGCATCTGCCTACCTTGTTGCCCAGAATGGGGGTGAAGCCATCCGCGAGGCTCCACTTCTTGAAGTTGGGCCGGTGCGTGCGGCCCCGCAGGGAGCCGTAATGGAAGACCTCGTTGGCGCTGTTGGAGCTGTAGAGGATGAGGATGGTGATGAGGGCAAGGAGGATCACGAACACTGCCGACCGCTGCTCCTGCAGAGAGGACAGGCCATGAGGGCCTGGCACCCGCCAGGCTCGGTGCCCCCCCCCAATGCCGTCACCCACCACGCCCAAAACCCCTTGCTCCACACTCTGTGCCAGCCCCCCCATTGCAGCAGCAGCTCTGAGGACTGGGCCTGGGCCAGCCTTGCACCCCAGATCCCAGGGGTGAATTCCAGCCCTCAGGAGGCTGAGGCAGGAGAATCAATGCAAGTTCAAGACCAGCCTGGGCTACATAGTGAATTCAAGACCAGCCTGAATGATATAGTGAGACACTGTCTCAAAAAACCAAAACCCAGAAAACTGCAACAACAAAGGAGGTTCCAGGGAGTGACTGCCCAACAGGATTGGATGCATGCGTCAGGATTCCCTCCAGCTACAGCTACAAAGATGCCCAGAGACACTTGAGATGTCTAGGTGAGGGGCCAGGTCTTCCCCAAGCAGTAATTCTTGGTAAGATGTCAACATACAGTTGGTTCTCTGCACCTGCCAATTCCTTTTTTTTTTTTTTTTTTTTTTGGCACTGCTAAGGACTGAGCCCACTGCCCTACATCACCATCCATTTTTATTTTTTTATTTTCAGACAGGGTCTCACTAAGTTTTCCAGGTTGGCCTTGAACTTGCAATCCTCCTGCCTCAGCCTCCCAGAGTGCTGGGATTATAGGCCATACCTGTAGATTCTGCATTCACGATTCAAACAACCACGGGGCAATAAGGTAGACACAACCTATAATGATCATTCTACTGAACATGCAAAGACTGCATGATCCCCTAGATAATACAGTGAGCAACTATTTGCATAGCATCTACCTTGTATTAGATATATAAAAAACCTAGAAGCTGGGTGTTGTGGCACATACCTGTAATCCCAGCTACTCAGGGGCCGAGGCAGGAGATTTCAAGTTTGAGCCCACCCTGGGCAACTTAGTGAGTCTCTGTCTCAAAATTAAAAATAAAAAGAGCTGGGGATGTAGCTCAGTGGCAGAGTGCTTGTCTAGTGTGTAAACACTTGGTTCAATCTCAGTATCACACAAAGGAAAGAAAAAAGAGAGTGGTAAAGAAAGAGGAGAAAATAATCTGGAGGTGACAATCCCCTGCAGGTACCAAGGGAGGACTACACTCTCTCAGCTCCAAGTTCATCTAGCCTGCTCTGTAAAAGTCAATCTGGGCCCTTTAAACGTTTGCCCTGGCCGGGCAGTTGCGTATTCAGATTTGTCGGTCGGTAGAGGGCGCTAAAGACACAGCGCAGGAATAAAGGCCTTCGGGTCTGGGTTGCAGCCGGCTTGCTCCGAGGTCCTGCAGTGCCCAGGGCTTCTCCTGCGCTGACTAGTAGCGCTCACAGCCTCCAGCTCCTGCTGCGATCACAGCATCCCGCACTCCTGCTCCTGCAGCACTCAACTGCTGAGGACCAGCTTGATGTACAGCAGGCAGTAAGTCATATTAATAAATCGGCACAAAAATAAATTCAGTCTGTCCTAGGCCTATCTGACTTGTGGTAAGACCCCCGGCTGGCTTAGGGACAGATTAATCTCTAAGCCAAGGACCAGAAGCGAGGCTAGCAAACCATCTGTGAAGTTCTAGTTCCCCAAAGCGAGGGGACACGGCAGCTGAGGACTTTGGTGCAAATTCTACCTAGTTCAGCAGTCACAGCAGACAATCAGGTTACTAGTTAACCCCAACCTGCTCCTGTGTGCTGCTCCAAAAATGCACTGTTAACTGCCAGGCGTGGTGGCGCATGCCTATAATCCCAGCACTAGGGAGGCTGAGGCAGGAGGATCGTTGCGAGTTCAAGACCAGCCTGGGCTACAAAGTGAGCTCAAGGCCAGCCTGAACTGCATAGCAAGACCCTGTCTCAAAAAAGACCAAAAAAAAAAAAACCAAAAAAACCAAAAATGCACAGTTCCTCAATTCTTGAACCTTGTCCGTGTCAGCCGTTCACCCCCACCACTTCCTGTGGCCCACCAGCACCCCCCACAATCAAGCGGTACACTTAATAAAAGCCAGAGACACCATGCCTCAGGGTCCTAGCCCATCAATGGGCATTGACCATCCTGGTGGCCTTGTAATTACAGCGTGTATATTTTGTCTGTGTTTTATACCATCATCAGACCTCTGAACAGGAGATGGGTGGTCCAAGGCCAGGGCCCCAATACTCAACTGCCTATAGCACCCAGGGGCCAGCAGCTTCCCCTCCCCAGGGCCCTTGACATGGGAGCCAGTGGGATGTCACCGTGCTTTTAGGTGGGGGCATTCCTTCTACCTGCTGTCCTGTAGGACGCTCCTTGACTCACAACCTGGGTACACCTGAAATACCCTACGTGGAGAGTGCATTTATTTCCTATGTCTAGCTGCCCAAACCCTCTTCTTTTTTTTTTTTTAGTACCAGGAGTCAAACTCAGGATCTCATGTTTGCCAGGCAGGCGCTGTGCCACTGAGCTAAATGCCCAGCCCCCAAGCCTCCTTGCTTAGCAACGGGCTCAGTGTAAGGTAGGATGGTTTCTTCCGCGATTGTGGGAGATTTCAGCCACTATCACTGCCGCCAGCGACAAGACTTCAGGTGCAGAGTATGGTGTCCATGGAATGCAAATCACCTTTTCACCATCCAGAGTCCAAAGTGTATTGGCGCACACCTGTAACCCCAGCACTGCGGGAGCCAGAGCAAGAGGGTCGCAAGCTTGAGCAGGGACTTAGGCAGACACTGTCTCAATATGAGAAGAAAAATAAAATAAAAAGGGCTGGGAATACAGCTCAGTGAAAACGCTCTGGGTTCAATCACCAATACCACAAAATAATAATAGTGGTAATAGTAATATAAATAAAAGAAAACTGAAAGTCCTAGGTCAGGCCGCTGACCAGGAACTCCAAGGTTTGGGTGGTACGATGTCATTGGGACAGGACCAAATAGACTGTCTTGCTGAAACTGTTCTCTCAAACAGGAGATGTTTAGATTTAGTCTCTCTACAAGGAGTTTGTGATGTCCTAGGAAAAAACTGCTGTTTCTATGCTAATAAATTTGGAATAGTCCAAGAAGGTCTGAGACAATTACAAGGGCCATTAGATAACCGGGCCAAACAGCAAAATCAGAAGCAGGGATGGTTCCAAGGTCTACCTGACTTGAGGTCATGGCTAGGGCACCTTTTGGGGTCCCTGACAGCCCTTATGTTAATTTTCCTGCTAGGGCCCTGACTGACTAATTAGACTACTCACTTTGTTTCAGAACAGATCAACAGCATAAGTTTCCAAATTGGCCCTAAGAGGGCTGGGGATATAGCTCAGCAGCATAAGCGCTTGCCTGGCAAGCCTGAGGTCATGAGTTCGATTCCTGGTACCAAAAAAAACCAAATTGGCCCTAAGAGCTACTCCTTCTTTATACAGCTTTACACAGAAGCAACACTGAAAAAGATTTTTCTGAGTAACAACAAGAGGGGGAAACACGAAGGAAAAACTGTTCTTTAAAAACCTTTGTTCTTGCCAGGCATGGTGGCACACACCTGTAATCCCAGCCCTTGGGAGGCTGAGGCAGAAGGATCTTTGTGAGTTCGAGGCCAGCCTGTGCTACAAAGTGAGCTCAAGGTCAGCCTGAACTGTATAGCGAGATCCTGTCTAAAAAAAAAAAAACCCCACCAAAAACACTGTTCTCTTTGAAGCACGCCTAGCTTCATGGCTCTTTAATTACTTTCTTGACAATGTGACCATGAGTGTGTAACTGAACACACACGATGCCTGACTAACTGACGGTCATTAATCTAGCCCTGTAATGGATGGTCTCACCCTGCTAGCTAATCAAAGGAACTGCCAGGCTGGCCCGTCCCTCCTGTGTGACCCCTGCCGATGCCTCATATAGAAATGCTGGCTCGCAGACACTTGCTGCCTGGCTTTTGCTGGAAGTTATTCCACCCAGAACCACCGGCGTAAAGTAAGGCTGTTCACTGCCTCCTGACTTTCCTCAGGTGTCGTTTTTTCCTGGACTCGGTTTTGCAGAAACAGTACAACCTCCCCCTCCCTCACCCCCAGACCTCACAGTTGGCCGGGGCTCTAATGGATTCCACGGATGGGGCATGCAGGGCCAGGCACATAGGAGGTGCTCAGGAAGGCGCAAATGAGTGACTGAATGACTGAGGACACTGACTTCTTGGGGTGACTTGCTCGTTGTGTCATCTTTGACTCTTAGCACCCCACCCCACATCCCGCATACACTGCAGCCAAGCCTCGGGTGACAGTGGACACCCTGGCTGAGAGGGAGAGGTAGGACCCACTCAGTGGCCAAAGCAAGGCTCAAGCTTGGGCCCTTGTGGCCCCTCAGGGGAAACAGAGGCACGGCGGCCGCCACATGCAGGTCCCAAGGGGCCCTTCCCAGAGGGGAGTGAGGGAGGCAGGGCACTTACTTTGCTGCTGCTCATCTCTCGGCGGCGTCTGCTGAGCGGCAGGGGCCAGCGTCCTGCAGGTGGCCCAGGGGGCAGGGATGCGGGGTCACACCTGCAAGCCACCAGAAAGGGTTATGGCCTGGTGCCTTCCTGTGGGTCCAGTGAGTCAAAGGCTCTCGATCTGCGCCCTGGCATCTCTTCTGCCCACCCAGAACTTTAAGGCGCAGGGTTCTACCCACTTTACAGATAGAGCCGCAGAGCCCCAGAGAGGAAGGAACCTGCCTGAGCCGGGTGAGGGCACCCACCCAGGTGATGGGACCCAGCAGGCTGGGCCCTCATGCATGCCCTGCTGTAAACCTTTGGCCCTGTGGCCACAGGATCAAGCGGCGTTCACCAGAGGTTCCCAAACTCCTCTGCTGTGCTCCCCCTTCCAGGTTACACCGTCTGTCTGGAATGCCCTCCCTCCAGTACCTGCCTGGCTCCCCTTCATCCTCGGAGCCTGGGCTGGGCCAGGAACCTCCGGGGTCCTTTCTCCCCTCAGGCCGGAGCCTTCTACGGGCAGCGCCCCTCACTGACCCTCCCCTGGGTCCCCAGGGCCAGGAGGCTGAGCGAATCTATCCCTCTAGTAAGACCGCAGGGTCCAGGGCACGGCCCAGGGTCTGAGAGGCAGCCCTGGGTCCCGGCTCACCCTTCTCGGCACCTTCTTCCTGCCCCAAGGCCCACCTCTTGGGACCCAGCCCTTCCCGACGTTCTGTCCCCACCTGTAACCAGCTCGCTTCTGGCAGGCATAGGCCAGAGGGCAGAATGGGACAGTGTACACTTACAGAAACTGGGGCGGGGACTGCCGGCCTGCTGGGGCGGCTCGCCCTGGCCACTGTCTCTTTCCCCTGACCCAGCGGCTGTTTACTCCTACACTGTCACCAGGAATAGGGAAAAACCTCGGCCAGACACACACACACACACACACACACACACACACACACACACACACACACCGCCCGATTGGTCAGGCCTGGCCCCGCCCCGCCCCCTCCCACTCCCGCAGGCGCCCCCCCTCCGGGCTTCGGGTTTCCCCGGGCCGGGCCCTCACCCCCAGTCAGGGAGACCCCGGGCTCCTATCCGGCCCGACTCACAGATCGGGAAACTCAGGCTCACCAGAACCCGGGGGCGGCTAGACCTGGCACTTACAGGCCGTTAGAGCACAGACAGGAGTGCACAGTCCGAGGGCGGCCCCGCGCCCTCGCTCCAAATACCTCGAGTCTGGATCCCGGCCCGCCCCCCACTTTCCCACCTGTGCCTGAGCAGGGCCCTCGGCCGGCCGGGCCCACCGTCCCCCTGGTCACAATCCCGCTCTGGGAAAGCCATGGTCGGTACGGCATGTCGGGTCCCACTGCGAACCCCGGTTCCACCACTTACTGGCTGGGGGGCCTCGAGCAAGCCATGTGACCTCTCTGAGCCTCAGTTTCCTCATCTGCGAAACGGGAACAATAAGAGGAAGTAACTCTGGGGGTCGCGGAAGGATTCGAGCAGAAGCGGCTGAGGGTGCCCGGGCCGGGAAGTGCTCCACCGTGCCAGCGGCGCCCCTTCCTGTGGACACTCTGTGCAGACCCAGCGGCTTCCTCGATTATGAACCCCAATCCTGCGACGTTCCCACTCTGGACCCCCACTCTACGACCTCCTCCACTCTGAACCCCAAACCTGCGGCTCCTTCCTAACTGGAGGTAGTGGCTGAGCCACGCCAAGCGTCGCCCACTCGCCGAGTCCCCTGGCGACGCCCCACGGCCGCCCTGACCCCCATTTCACAGAGGAGGAGACTGAGGTTCAGGGAGGCCCGCGCCTGGCAGGCGGGGGGAGCCTGTGACGGGCTTGTTAAGGGGCGGGGCCTCACGGGGCCCCTTCAGGGGACCCGGAGAGACCCCAGGGACAGGGTGCAGGTGCAGGCAGCTCAGGCCAGGGGGCCCAGCCGGCGCGGACGTGCCGGGGCTG